CGGCGAATTTTCGGCTTCAGTTTGCCTTTGAAGCCAAAGATTGCAACCTGCCAGAGAATGTGGAGGTGACGAGTAGCAAACCGAAGAAAACAACCTCCAAACCTGCATGCTATAATCACATTCAAAGAACAAATGAGTGTAAGATTCATTCGCGCTTTGGCAGAGAACACATGTGGTTTCAACTCTCAATCGCCAACTTGATAGTCGGTCTTTGGTGGGGAGCCTTTGTAGGAGAACTTGCCATATGTTGAAGCTGAGACGAGGAGTTGACAATTTGCTCCATACCAGTTTTGACCACGCAACAGGGGGCCTCTAGACCGTAACAACTGCCAAGTCGCTTTGGAGGAGAACTCTTGGCTGTAGGAGGAGTCTGATGTCTTCCACTCATACTTGTCTTTCCCCGCCCCATCTGCCGGAGGGGTTATCGAAGTAATTCTTGTCAAGATCGATTGAGCAGCGGTGGAGCGAGCCCCTGGAGGTACCATTCACCGTTCCGAACTGCAGCCCTTACTTTCGCGTTTAATGGTACCCTCAATAATCTTGGACCATTCGCTCCCGTTAACTCGATCAAAGGATTCATCTTATTTGTCTCAATCCGATTTTAGTATTTGAGTGGAAAACCACTCTCCCTTCCATTTCCCATTTGTGATTGTGACCCCCAAATATCCTCAAGAGTCCATTAATACTACGAGTCATTCGTTACAAATTAAGTTTGGTAAATAATTAATGAAGAAAAGAAGAAATTAATGAAATAAAAAACTACTTGCAAACGTGTACATTTTTTGTACTTTGTATTATGTGTTTTTTTTAGGGGTGGGCACTTCGCTTCGGTAATTTAGTACCGATCCGATCCGTCCCGAAACCGAACCGGACCGAATCGAACCGAATAACGTTTGGTTCTAATTTGGTATACTTTTTATGGAACCGAATGAACCATTCCCGAACCGAACCGTATGAATACCGAACCGAACCGTATGAATTCCGAACCAAAATTCGAATATTCCACTAATATATGTGTAAATATTATAGTTCGGTACTTATTTGGTATTCATATAATGGTACAGTTCCAAACCGACCCGATACTAAAACCGAACCGAACCGAACCGTTTAACATTCGGTTCTAGTTTGGTACACTTTTTATAAAACCGAAAATACCGTTCCCGAACCGAACCGCTTGAATACGGAACCGAAACCCGAAACCCGAAACGCCCACCCCTAGTTTTTTTTGGCGTTATTTTTTCCCCCAAAATACCTTTAGTTTTTTTTTATTTCTTATATAAAATACCCTATTTAAAAAAAAAAACCAAAATTTTCTCTATACTTTTCTTTGTCTATCTTATCTTTCACTCACATGTCTCTTCTCTCATATTTTCGTTTATTAATCCCTCTATAGTCAAAATCATGGCTGATTCGCCTCACTTTTATGTGTTGGATTAAAGAGATTGATTATAAAAGAAAATTGATTTTATTTATTTATTTTTTGTTCTTATTTGTTGCTCGAGAAAAAGAATGTGTGAGAGAAGAATGAAAAACACTTCAAGATGTTTTTTGTTCTTATTTGTTGATGCAAAGATATTGTGGCACAAGGTAGTGAGGTGCAAATTCAATACTCCAAAGCACTCCTTCATCACTTGACTATCCGGGCACAATCTGTGGTCGTACGAGCTCATGGAGATTTTTATTGACACTACATGTATTTACTGTGCAAACACACAAGAAAGTAGAGATCATCTATTTTTTCTATGTCCGAATCTCAGTGAATTAGGTAAGTGCATGGACTCCTCCTCTACCTCCGTCATTAACTTGATACAACATTCTTGGTTGGCTATTGAGGAATTGGGATAGCCAGTCCCGATATTATGGTGTTTGTATAAGTTGGCAGCTATACATCTATAATATCTGGTCCGAAAGGAATGCTAGAATCCACTCCGCTCGCTTCAAAGCTCTTTCAGTCCTGAGAAAGGATATTGACGTAGCCTTTCGAGCGAAAGTTGCAGGGATCAGAACCACACATCCAGACGAGCTTTCGCCAGTGAGTTGCTAAAAGGGTGGTTTCAAACTCCCTGAAGGGGCTAGTCTGCATGATCAGCACTCAGTTGTTCCTCCAAATTTTTTTGGACTAATTCTTTTGTACCAAGTCTTCATGTAACATAGACTACCACTTAGTGGTTCTCTTTTGTAATTCAGGTTACTAAACTATCAACATACAAAAAGACGAAAACAGGCTTAAGTTGAAGGCTATTACGCATTTTCAACATCCCTTCGACCCATTTTGGATGGACTGGGTATATTCTGATGGGTGTTGTTAGTCAGGTCGGCCTGCATCCGGCTAACTAAAAGGTGCATGCAAAATTTATTTGTTTATAAAATTATTCCTTTCCTTGAAATTTTTATCGTGGGATATTTCGAGTTTACAACTATTCAACACAGTAATTAATTAGAAAATGAATACATACATTTAATTTAGATTAATGGAGCGAGGATATTGTAAAATATATATGTCTCTGTGAAGTGCGTATCGAACCCTCACGGTTCTCTCCGACGCTCGTGTGTTCAAGAACCGAAGGAAGACACAGCGGATTTTTACGAGTTCGGTTACCGAGTTACCTCGGACCTACGTCTCGGCCGGAACGGCGCCGGCGAATCCACTAGAGTACGGAAGAAACAACAGAGAAGAGAAATACACCCGGAGACCCTCCACACAAGGTCGGAGGCTCACCGATTTACAACCAGAGAAGAAAACCCGAGACACTTACCGAGACCGGCCTTTGCTTACCGCACCACCGTCGACTTCTCCATCGTCTCCGAGAAACGTCGGCCGCCTTGCCTCTCTCTCTCTTCTCCTCACGATCGCCCTTCTCTTTCTCTCTCTCTCGAACCTTCTTCTCGAGCACCGTGTCATCCCGTCAAAGAACCGATAGACTTAGGGTTTCATTAACCCTCGTCCAACACGCAGCGTTTCGGTTAACACCGAAACCTCCTTCTCAAAGAGAAGGTTCTCTTTTCTTCACCAATGGGCCTTAAGGCCCAACAATCTCCACCTTGGTGGAGAAAGAGAAACGAACAAAAGAGAATAATAACATAATATAATAAATACTAGTGGTTCGCCGATACCAGCACCGATCGACTTTCGTCGATCCTTCGACTTTCGTCGAAATTTAAAGCGTAACTTACCTGACTTACCTCACTTACCTGATGTCCCGGAGTTAGTCACATATCGCCCTCAATCTGATGAAGCTCCCGTCGATGACTCCTCGTGGCCTCGTCGCCTTATCCCGCCACCGATCAGCTCATCTATACCTGAAACACTCGGTAAACGTGTTAGAACGTTCACCCCGATAAGACTCGAGCCATAGTCCTATTCCGCGTCGCCCGACCGGCGAACGCTACCCTCGGTCGTATGACTCCCTAGACCTCTAACTAACCCTCCTAGTAAAGTCCAAGATAATACTCGCTAGCGAACCCGAGGATTATACCCGACGTCTACCCGTCTCCTAAGTCTATCCTGACTTCCCCCGAGACTAACCTGAGTCATACTACCGAAACCGCTAGATACCTAGCCCGGATCCCCGTGAAGTCTATACTATCTATAGGTGAACGACTTCTACCCTCGGACCCTAACCTGCCAACTAGAATTGTCCCACGGTTTTGTCCCGTGAAGACGTTCCTAGTCATCTATGAATGCTCCACCAAGAATGAGACACGTGAGTGCACGTGCTCCACCTCGAGAAGGAGTGTTCTAGTGCTCCAACCTACACCGACTCTACCCGGTGAAAACCCGACACCTCCCTGCTCACACCATCTCCTGAGCATCCTACCCGAGAAAGCTCCACCTAAATGTGGAGACCTCACCTCCTGACCTACCACCGAGAACCGAAGCATCTTCGGTTACTCCTCCGAGGTCAAAACGTCCTTCTACCTCGGACTCTCCCTACCTCGTCATCCGGGACCTACAACACCTTCTTGTAGTGTCCCTACTTACCCGCGGAACAACTCACTCCACCTGGTCCTTGGCCTTCTCCTGCAACCCGATTTCTCGGGTTTGCCCGAGACCCCTAGTCCTTCCACCATACCCCCTTTCGGGGTATACCGAGCTAGAATATCTAACTCCATCATCCTAAGACGATAAAACCTGAGTCTAAAACCGACTCTTTGTCGTCGTTGACTCTAGAAACCTTCAGATCTCTCTATACGGGCGCCGATCTCGATCCGATCTTGCGCCTTGCACACTCGGTAGAAGGTTAAATCGTTCACACAGACTCGACTCTAAAGAAAAAAACCGAAACCGGAAAACCCTAACTTACCTCGCCTGACCGGCGATGCTCCCTGGATCGGAACCGAGCTCTGATACCACTTTGTGAAGTGCGTATCGAACCCTCACGGTTCTCTCCGACGCTCATGTGTTCAAGAACCGAAGGAAGACACAGTGGATTTTTACGAGTTCGGTTACCGAGTTACCTCGGGCCTACGTCTCGGCCAGAACGGCGTCAGCGAATCCTCGGGCCTACTTCTCCATCGTCTCCGAGAAACGTCGGCCGCCTTGCCTCTCTCTCTCTTCTCCTCACGATCGCCTCCGCGATCGCCCTTCTCTTTCTCTCTCTCTCGAACCTTCTTCTCGAGCACCGTGTCATCCCGTCAAAGAACCGATAGACTTAGTGTTTCATTAACCCTCGTCCAATACGCTGCGTTTTGGTTAACACCGAAACCTCCTTCTCAAAGAGAAGGTTCTCTTTTCTTCACCAATGGGCCTTAAGGCCCAACAGTCTCTAATACAATCATTGCAGAACGAAACAGAGATCTTGACAAATTTTTCGTGTTGGAGAAAGAAGATGGTACCTCGGGTCATTCATCCAAGACACGATGATGGCCGAAAACAAACCAGCCATGGCCATACTCGTTGGACTGGTTTTATACATTTGAGAACTTCACAATGTTAATACCAAATCACATTTTACCAAACCAAAAAAAAAAGATTTAACCTTAGGTGTTTTTGTTGGCTATTATTCTGCGTCCCAAAGGTCAAATGTGACGCAAGGAATATGTTGGACCTTGTAATGATGTTCTCCGCCTTCAACTAACCTGTCCATGAACTCCCTTTTCATCAACACTATGTCCAACTCCTTTAGAGTAGAGATGTTTCTCAACCCATCAGGCAACTTCTCCAGCTCTGGGCAACATTGGATCCATATACGACGAAAACGAGGCATTGTCGACCCTTCTTCCACCGCCCACTCCTCTAGATTTTGTAAGGAGTACAGATGCAAAGAACGCAATTGAGGGAACCCGTCTCTCGAACATGCCATTTTCCTCTCCACGAAACTGTGCATCTGTAAACAAACTTCCTTTAAGTTAGGCATCTTCTCAAGAATGGGCATTGGATCCTCCTCTATTCTACAACCCTTTAACCATATAGTCGTGAGGCATGGAGCAGATTGGAGTTTGTCTGGCAACCTTTCCATCTTTACGCCTTCCAACCTTAACTGGTGGAGACGTGGGAACCCTGAAACGAGCCCTCCTATATCGAATTTAACATGGCCCTCGGTCTGATGGTGACATAATACAAACTCCTCAAGTTTCAGCTTATTATTGAGAGATAAAAGTAAAGCCTCCTCATCCGATGTTCCATAGACATTGATACGAAGTTGCCTAAGATTTTTCATACTGAGAAGGTCCTCCGCTCTACAATGCTTCGTCGAGAAGTTCTCCAGGGTCTCCAACTTTACCAGACTACCCAATTCCAACTTGGTCTCTTTGCTGAGACGATAAGGTAACACAAGGTATCTCAAATCCTTCATTCTCTTCAAAACATTGGGTATATGAACTTTTGGCCCATAAATCCCCAAATCTAAAAAAACCAACAACGTTAGATTTCCGAGAAAAGATGGTACTTTTGATAAACTCATCCCTTCTATTCTCAAGTATCTCAAGTGAACGAGCTTCCCTATGCTCTTTGGAAACTTTCCTCCTGGAAAGTATACTCGATAAAGATCTAGCACTCTGAGACGTAATTTTCCAAAGTTCAGAGCTGAAATCCAACAATCATCGCTTCGAATGATACACAAAAGGCTTCGTAACTTTGGGTTCCTTATTTGTCATAGTCTTCATCATCACCATCAACCGAACCAAAATGTACAACAAGTCTGCGAGACTTAAATCTGGGCACAGAAGTTGAAGAATTGACGCTTGAAAAGAGAGTCCTAGCACTGATCACTTCAAGGAAGTTCTCTTCTTTGGCTATCAACAAACACACGTCTCTCATTACATCATGCACACTAATTTTGACAATTCTTGAGCTCACATCATCTATATGAGAGACTAAAACCAAATTTCTCTTAACAAGCTCCTCAAGGTAGATTTCTGCCATTTCTCGAACGGACCTATTAGTACCCTCTGACGACATTTCTACGATTCCTTCTGCAACCCAACTTTTCCGTATTTATCTCATAATCTTCTGGAAAATGGGCCAAGTAAAGGAAGCAATGCTTTAGACGAAATGGCAAATCTTCGTAGCTCAAAGATAACACCTGGAATGCTTGATTAACGTTTTGATCAGGGCTGATTTCTCTTATAATTTGAGATCCGATATTATCATGTACCATTTTCCACTCGGATGCTGTACGTTTGGTGGATAACAACCCTCCTAGTATTCTGACAGCCAACGGCAATCCTCCACAACGTCTTATCATTTTGTCAACCTCTTCGTTCACTTCGTTCATGTCAAACTCTGCACATGGCCATGGAGTGTTTGGCAAAACAAAATTGGTATCTTATATACAAACATTGGTTTTATGAATGTTAAAGTAGGAAAATGAATATGTGATTGGAAAAAAATCTAGATTTTGGAGGAACACAATATTATGTTAAATATCGTGAATCATATTTATTTCCGTTATATCTATATTTCCTTTTATTTCATTTGTTAATTTTTCTATAAATATGTGAGTTATTTTCATTGTAATGAAACAAGAAGAAGAAGAGATGTAGCAATAAAAGTAATTCCGTTCTTTTCTATTTGTCTTATTTTATTTCCGCATTTTATTTTTCTACATGGTATCAGAGCGGTTTTCGATCTGCTCTATATCTTCTTCTTTTTTTTGTCAATCTCTTCTTTTTTTTAGTTTTAGATGTTCATATATTATCCAAATTTCGATCTGCTCTATATCTTTTTTTTTTCTCAATCTCTTTTTTTTTTTTTAGTTTTTGGATGTTCATATATCCAAATCGTTCAAATAGGAGTAAAAATTCCAAAATCAAACGAGGTGCTGTGACAAAAAGAAGTCAAACCTAAAAACTCTAAGATCAAGCGAGGTGCTATGACAAGAGTTAGAGGTAGAACTTCAAAGTCAAGCGAAGTGATTTGAACATGGGTAATATTCTCTAAAAGAACTAAATTTGGTGTTTATGGATTTTTTAAAAGACAATGAAAATGTCTATGGATTTTTATCGCATTATCTTTTCAAGATTGATTTTTGCATTCTTTCAAAATCAATCTTGAGGGGGAATGTTAAAGTAGGAAAATGAATATGTGATTGGAGGAAAATCTAGATTTTGGAGGAACACAATATTATGTTAAATATTGTGAATCATATTTATTTCCGTTATATCTATATTTCCTTTTATTTCATTTGTTAATTTTTCTATAAATATGTGAGTTATTTTCATTGTAATGGAACAAGAAGAAGAAGAGATGTAGCAATAAAAGTAATTCCGTTCATTTCTATTTGTCTTATTTTATTTCCGCATTTTATTTTTCTACCATGAACACCAAACATTTACTTTTTGAATTTTCTAGCTTCATTACGCTTTGAAAATTATACTCATGTTTTCTTTTCTACAATAAAATGATATTTCCTTGTAATGACCACTATTTGACCTTTTTTTTTTGTGTTTTTATAATTTAAATAAAATATAGAAAAAATCTCTCGGAAGTGCGATTACTTCCTTACAAAAGTCAGTCACAACCCAACAGCGTCAAACGGATTTCTCCACCTCTAGAGCCTCTGTAATCCTTAATCCCCATAACCAAACACTCCCTCTTCCTCCTCCCCCCAGAGAGAAAATAAATCAACTGATATCGGAAACTAAAAATCACAATTACAAAAGACCTAATCAATACTGCATCTCTTTCATTTTCTTCCTCTTCGTCGTCATCGTCTTCTTCTCATCAATCTCGCATTTGCCAATTGATTTGTGGAAACTGCTTGATTTCTCATCGATGTTAACCTAGGGCTCTTATTAACTTTCGGTTACCTGATCCATCTAGAGGTAGTATAGTAGTCGATCTGCAGATGCAATGCACCTCAACTTTGGGTGTTCGATTCTATTGGCGGGGAAGAATGTAATTTCTAGATCAATAAGATTTATGACCAGAAGTTTATCTAATCATCGCACCGAAAGATAACAAGTAGGGTCCTCCATTATAAAAAAAACTTTGGGTCACCTATTTTTAGAATCTAACTTCCCTTCTTTTCTCTCTTGGGTTTTCTTCTTCCTCCCCTTTCCTACCTTCCTTTCGCAGATTTCGATTCGCTCCCATCTGCATTTCTTCTCCGGCCATTATTGTCGGCGCTTTAATCTTCAACAAACGATTTGTTTCTTTCAATTTACTGTTTCGGGTATCTGTTAGATACGATATGACACGGACACCGGAGGTTCTGTTTGGCTCATCGTGTAGAATGTCGGTGAAGGGTAAGGGTGATATTTGCATGGGTGAACGTGAAGGTTGGGCGGCGTCACCCCACCTTTTCAAGAAATCCATGTGATGGTTATTATTTAATTTTATATTTTTATTTATATTTATTTTATTATTAAATTTTAAATTTTTATCTCTATAAATATCATATATCATATATAATTTTAAATAAATAAAAATAAGTATCTTTAAATCAAATCAAATGTTAAATGAAACCAAATGGATTTTATATAAAACAAAATATTATATTAAAATATAAAATTAGTTTATTAAAAATCAACTTCTAAATAATATCAATCTTTAAATTATAGTAGAAAAAGGATATATTTGGATTTTAAAATCAGTCTATATTTTTATATTAGTAAAAAGATCAAATTTATAGATGGTGTTCATTTTAGAACACTGTTTTATTATTAAAAGATTAAGTTTCAACGTTTTAGTTAAGTTATAATCAATATAATTTTAAAAAAGATATATTACTTAATTTTTAATTGGCTAATATATAGTTTTGAAAAAAATAGTAACAATATCGTAAAACTCTCCATATGAAGGACATGATATTATAGTAAAAATCCGTTCATTCACAAATGGATCAGTATTATATGAAATTTAGTAATACTTTTTTATGAATTAGTTGTTGTATCATTCAATACATTATTTTCTAAAAAGATTTATATAGGTGAAAAATTTAACATTATCAAAAAGTTTTATGTTAGGTACATAAATTTAATCATTCTTAAGAAAACTATAACTACAATATTTTAAAATATCATTTTTATTGTTACCTTATAACTAAAGTTTTTGTAGATACCAAAAAAAAAAAGACTGACACTCAGGACAACCAAAACAAATAATTAACATCGAATCTACGCAACGTATATACGACGATACTCATATTTTTTTACTACTTGTTTATACAAACAATATAATGTTGATTTTATAACAATTAGTTTTACAGATATATTTTTGTGTCAAGTAAATAATCTATATCAATTTTTAATACATTTATATCAACATTTTTTTATAATAAAATTTTCTAAACCTCTCTTTAGAAGATCTCCAATATCAATTTTACCGAGAATTTACTCTATATAATCTCATCTGTAAGAGACTAGTTAGACTAAAAATTAGAAATCTATACCGTAAATATAAACCTAATGAAAACAACTTATTGATTTAATGCGAAAAAAAATGCAAAACAATTTCAGCTATTCATTAAAATAATTTTTCCGTTTACCAACAAAAGATAAAAAATGAAAAGGCAAAAATTGTAGACATAGTCTAAAGTTGCCTCCACATATCGAAAGACATATCTCTGTATTTGGTGTTTTATATATATATAGTTATAATTTTTGTTGCAAGTAAATGGATTCATCTTATTTGTCTCAGTCGGATTTTAGTATTTGAGTGGAAAACCACTCTCCCTTCCACTTCGCCTTTGTGACCCCCAAAATATCCTCATGAGTTCATTAATACTACGAGTCCATTACAAATTAAGTTTGGTAAATAATTAATGAAGAAAAGAAGAAATTAATGAAATAAAAAAACTATTTGCAACGTGTACATTTTTTTTTTACTTTATATTATGTCTTTTTTTTGGCGTAATTTTTTTTTCCCAAAATACCTTTATTTTTTTTTTATTTCTTATATAAAATACCCTATTTTAAAAAAACTAAAATTTTCTCTATACTTTTCTTTATCTATCTTATCTTTCACTCACATCTCTCTTCTCTCACTTCTCTCAGATTTTCGTTTACTAATCCCTCTATAGTCAAAACTATGGCTGATTCATCTCACTTTTATGTGTTGTTGGTTCAAAAAGATTGATGATAAAAAAAAAATTGATTTCATTTATTTATTTTTTGTTCTTATTCGTTGCTCAAGAAAAAGAACCAAAGATTAGAGAGGGTTGGAAGATAGATTTTAATAGCGTTGAGTTCGATAGATAGATTCGGGTGTGATGTATAGAATGAAAGATTGAAAAGGGACAATATCCAAAATACCATTCTTTTACTAAAACTACTTCTGCACAAACATTTCTCCAGAAAATAATCATGTGACTATCACGTAACTATACAGTTATTTTGGTCACATGATTACATATGGAGGATGTATATATTAAGGAGTATCAATCAGTTAGAAGAAAATCTACACATATGTAATCTTACCATATTCTAATCCCTTGACTATAGCTACGTTAAGGCCGTATATATCTCCTTGTAAGATTATTATTGAAATCATTCAATCAAATATTCATTCAAACATTATATGGTATCTATAGATTTTATGGTTGTAGAAATAAAAAAAGAAGCTTGGACAAAATGATGAAGAATGAGTTATGAAGAAAAATGGGACTTTGTCCCGTGTTCACCTTATCTTATTTCTTTATGCAATAGTTTTGTTATATACACATGAGATTACAACGGCTATAGAATGAATTACATGGAAAGAATAAAATATATATATCAATCTAATCTAAATGTGTCAAATTTGTGATATCCATTAAGCCTTGATCCACGTGATTGCTTCCTTGATATTAGATTCTCAAATGACTCATTGAGTAAGTGCTCCACATTCCTTATTATTTGATTGCCACGTCATTGATTTGTATAATATATCATTTCCTTTGTTGCATTCCAAGTCTTCAGTGAATATATGGTAAACTTACTTCAACATTCCCCCTCAAGATTAGCTTTGAAAATGTTGAAAAGCTAATCTTGAAGATTGGGTATCTCTTTGATTGTATTGAATGTCTTCAAGTATTCCATCATCTTCCATAAAGCCTTCATTGTTTTCTGCATCGACTCAAGTAAAACGTTAAAGAACATACCGGAGGCCGTAGCACTCCGTTTAATCCCTAAAATCGAATATAACATTGCAAGTATATGATTTCTATCAAATAAAAGCAAGAAAAGTGTTATAGCATGTTTATTCTTTGCTAGACGGGTTTTTACGTCAAATAAGTAAAATATCATTCTTTTGATAAAGTAATTTATATTAGAGTTGAAATACATGAAATGATCACGAAAAATATGAAACTTGTAATCAATGGATTTATACATATCATATTCATATTCATATTCATCCACGTTTCTATCTATTATGTGATATTTTTTATCAAGACATGCATTCTCAAATGAACCGGGATCAAATACAAAAGTATGAGATGAAAGTTTACTTAACCTAAAGTGTTCATAACTAGTAGGAAATTCAACGTCTATTTTGGACAGATTTGAATCGTTTGTTGTTTGCTTTGATGTTTCTCCATTTGATGCATCGTTTTCGCTTGGAAAGCACACGAGGATACCGTCACATTCCCCCTCACTCGTGTACTTGGAAAGCTTGAAGAATCCCTCATGTAAAGGCTGATGAAGAATGCTCAACAACCCATAAGCGTTATATTTAAAAAATAAATCAAAGTGTATAGGACAAGAGAAAAGAGTACAAACTCTAGTGCTTATCCATATGAATTCGATTCTCGGGTTTCTTAGAGGTGATGGAAATGGCTCTATCTCGAATGTGTTTGGATCTTCTTTATCGTGGTTCATTCCATCCTCTTTGGGTCTTGTCAATACAATATGTATGTCTTCTTTCTCCCGTTCCTCTTCTTTGATGCTAACTGTATGAGTTGCATGGATAGGAAAAGGTAAAGTCTCCTCGAGTGGATGATGCGCTTGGGACATTATGTCCTCTTTGCGACTCTCCACCGAGTTCTCTTGCTTGTGTCTTCCTTCCACTTTGTTTTCGGTCTCTTTTTCCTTTTTGATCAGCTTTCTTGCGTTTTCTTCCTTCCTTTGTTCCATCATTTGAACAAACTCATTAGAGGTAAAAAGAGATTCAATGAGAGAATACGTTACCCGTATATTGTATTCTTTGATCGTTGATAATAAGGTGTCCTTGATGTCCAATGGGAGATGGTCAAAGATGTTGTCATCCACATCCCATTCCCCTTCATTTTGCTCTTCAAAATATGGACCGTCATCCACACACATGGCTTGAACTTCTTCTATGGAGAGGTTATTCCATGCGTCAACCTCTTCCTTAGTGCACCAAAATTGTTCTACAACACCGTTAGCATGTTCGATGTATGAACAATGATTTCCTTCTTCATTTTCAAGGCCTCCAAGATCATCCCAAGTACACCTCATGTGACCTTTTAAGGATGAATATGGCGGATGAATAAGGATAAAAAGAAAAAAAAACTCGAATTCTCCTTGGCTTGAAAGAATAGCCTAAAAGGGGTAAAATTTAAAAATAACACGAGCAGGCTCCTTCTCGGTTTCAATGGATGCCGGAAGGTAATTTGCTTTGGTGTTTGCAGCGGAAAGCTAGACTTTTGGCACTTTAGACCTTAGTGCTCTGATACCATATAGATTTTATGGTTGTAGAAATAAAAAAAGAAGCTTGGACAAAATGATGAAGAATGAGTTATGTTTTTTTTTCTTTTTATCCTTATTCATCCGCCATATTCATCCTTAAAAGGTCACATGAGGTGTACTTGGGATGATCTTGGAGGCCTTGAAAATGAAGAAGGAAATCATTGTTCATACATCGAACATGCTAACGGTGTTGTAGAACAATTTTGGTGCACTAAGGAAGAGGTTGACGCATGGAATAACCTCTCCATAGAAGAAGTTCAAGCCATGTGTGTGGATGACGGTCCATATTTTGAAGAGCAAAATGAAGGGGAATGGGATGTGGATGACAACATCTTTGACCATCTCCCATTGGACATCAAGGACACCTTATTATCAACGATCAAAGAATACAATATACGGGTAACGTATTCTCTCATTGAATCTCTTTTTACCTCTAATGAGTTTGTTCAAATGATGGAACAAAGGAAGGAAGAAAACGCAAGAAAGCTGATCAAAAAGGAAAAAGAGACCGAAAACAAAGTGGAAGGAAGACACAAGCAAGAGAACTCGGTGGAGAGTCGCAAAGAGGACATAATGTCCCAAGCGCATCATCCACTCGAGGAGACTTTACCTTTTCCTATCCATGCAACTCATACAGTTAGCATCAAAGAAGAGGAACGGGAGAAAGAAGACATACATATTGTATTGACAAGACCCAAAGAGGATGGAATGAACCACGATAAAGAAGAAATCCAAGCACTACATTGATTAAGATCAATGTCTCCAACATCTCCAAGCTTACGACCACAAACTACATTCCTTGGAGCGTTCAAATCCGAGCTCTGCTGCTTCAAGGTTTCAATCTCGTAAGTTTCCTTGACCAAGATACCGCTCCCTCAACCAACGCTCACTGTGAGCAATGTCACAACTGCCAATCCCGCCTTTGCACTGTGGTTCCGTCAAGACCGGCTTATTTTTGCTGCTCTCGTTGGCTCTCTCTCCAGTTCCTATCAAGCTCTCATAGCTACATCACCGTCGTCGGCTCATGCATGGAACACCTTGGCCACCACGTACGGCCGCTCGAGTCGCGATCATGGGAAGCAGATTAAGGAACAACTCCGACGTTACACAAAGGGAAACAAATCCATTGACGAGTATATGAATTTCTTCAAGGTAAAAACCGACGAACTTTCTCTTCTTGGAAAACCAATGGATCATGAAGATCTCATTGATCTCACACTTACTGGCCTCGGAGATGAGTATAAAGCCATCAAAGACGTTGTTCACGCCAAGGATATCGCTATTTCGTTCGTCGAACTCCATGAGAAACTTATCAATCATGAAGTGGACGTTCTCGCCTCTCGAATGTCACCACATGACGTCCCGATCACTGCCAATGCTGCGAGCTTTAAACCTCGGCAACCGATCGCATCAAGATCATCGTCCTCAACATCATTCCAATGCAAACATAAGAGGCTACCAAGGCAAATGTCAGCTTTGTCGGGTGCAAGCGCATTCTGTTGGTTTAGTGCTCTATGATGTACTGTTTGCGAGCTTTCTTTGGATACATTTGATGTATTGATACTTTCTATAGTTTTATGAAAGTGTTTGATTCATTACATGTTTTGCATACTAGATATGTTGTGAAATCCATGTATTGTTATGAACGATACTAAAACTCCCTAGTCATATATCATTGTGGGAATAATGATATAATAAGACTAGTATGATGTGTGATTGATGATCATAGAGATGATCATAGCTATTGGATACAATCACAATCATAGGTATTCGTTGGAGAACGGAATACTGGATTGACCCGCATGAGATTGTCACATGGACTAGCGTCATGACTTGAATCTCATATGACGGTTCCATGATTGGATCCTTAGACCTGAGATATCTAGGAATCCGACATGAGGAGTTGCGTACTTTGAATACGTCAAACATTCTGCATAACAGGAGAACTATAAAGGCGTGTAACAAGTACGACACGAATCATGTACTGGATTGTAGATAGTCAAGATGGGATTTGCGCCTCTTGTAAAAAGAGAGAGATATCGCTGGGCCCCTCGTGTGAGTGAGACTGTAGAAATGTATGGCCGCACTATAGACGAACGTTGTCTATTTCAGACAGTCGAACTCAGTGAACGAGAAAGCAGTCGAATCAGATAAGGTGGCTTGTTCATGCCTTATGTTCGACATATGATATCGTGATGCAAAAGAATCATCAGCCGGAATCATCACTGGCATTCGGAAGTTCACGAACAAACTCTATTCGAGATAGGTAGTCATAGTGTCTTGCTAGAGACCGCCTATGACTTGTATATCTGAAATAGAGATTTCGGGTTATACTGCTATATCGAATGAGCCTACAGGATCACACACGCAGGGAAGGACAAATGCACGAGAGAAAACGACGAAGAACCGAGTCGGAAGGGTCTAGACCGGACGGACCGGAACGTCCATACTGGACGATCCAGACCCGACGATCCAGACGCGTGGTCCGTTCGTTCCAGATACTGGAACGGACGGTCCACGTTAAGACGCAGACCGTCCGTTCTACGTGGTGGAATGGACGGTCCACGTTAAAGGCAGACCGTCCGTTCTACATGTTGGAACGGACGGTCCAAGTGCAATTCCGGACCGTCCGTTCCAGGCTTTGGGTTTTTCGAAAATTAAACCGAAGTTAGGGTTAAATCACCTTATAAGAAGGAGATTAAAACCCTAATTCATGAAGAGACTTTTTGAGCCGTCTTTGGCAGAACTTTGAGAGCTTTTGGGGAGATCCAAAGAGTTCAAGGAGTTCTAAGTCTCGTTTTCTCGAAGCGATATACCGAATAGTAGATTCGGGTCATAGTAGACAAGTTCCAATCGTTGAAATCCATCCCAGGTGTGGATACGTGTAGAGGGCGAGGTAATCTTCCTCCCTTTCGTGATCGGACGAATTCTTCAGTTGATACAGGCCCCGGATCGATTGAGGAAACCGTTTTAACGTTTCTACGATTCATACATGCATGGTTCTAGGGTTTCATAAATTTTTGTTTTACATCCGCTGCGCAAACCCTATAATCGATCTCTTAGGAATAGGATTCGCTCTAGAGATCCTAGAAAAATCCAACAGTGGTATCAGAGCCTGGTTGCTCTGTATGCTTTTCGTAGAACCCAATCACGCACGTTTTAGGATTTGAATTGTTTGAATCCATGTTTGCTTTGATGTCTATGCATGTTGATCACACGGGTTTTTCACCGGTTTTCTAACGTCACGCACTTTGATTTTTTTCTCATATCTTAGGCATAATAGGACGTTAAACGATCATGGGTAGGATTCTTTCCTCCATTTCCCTTGCAGGATGATCGAACGAGGATATTTACGCACGAGGCACGGAAAACGAGCAGAATTGAGAAGTCCCGGATAGCTCAAAGAAAATGAGCGGTCCGCTCGTTATACCGAGCGGTCGCTCGTTGTGACAGCCAAGCAATCGGGCGGTCGCTCGCGGAATCAGGCAGTCGCTCTGTGCTAATACAGAGAACGAGCGGTCGCTCGGTACACAAGGCGGACGCCTCGAGTTGCAAAGAAGAATGAGCGGTCGCTCGTGCACATGAGCGGTCGCTCACCCTGAAGAAAACGAGCGACACTGAAGAGAAAATGGGCGACCCTGAACAAAAAGTGAGCGACCGCCCGATATCAAATCCGGCCCAAAAAGAAAAAGCCCGATTTTTGAGGAAAAACCTAGTTTTTGCACTTGCACAAAAAGGGGAGTTTGAGGAGAGAGAAGGAGGACTCGACACTTTGGAAGAAAAACACCTTGGAGAGGAGGAAAGGGAGATTTGGAGACTTAGGGAGACATCTTGAAGAAGGAGATCACCATTGAAGATCACATTGAGCATTTCTTCTCCTTTTCTATGTTCTCCCCTTTTGTTTTCTGTTTTGGACCTTTAGATATGGAGTAGTAACCTTGTTGTGGGTGAGGGAACCCCACTTTTGTATGGACACCCATGCTTATCTATGATGCTTTTGAGTTTTCTTCCATTGGTTTGATGTTTTGTGCTTAATGCTATTGATTTGGTTGAAACCCTAATTGATATGATTGTAGAACACATTGATCATAGGGATATGTGAATGATGTTTGGAACCAAATGTCAAATGAGTGAGTTATTCACATTGGGGGATGGCTTAGCTTGCTTGGGTTTATGATGGGGTACATTAATGCATCTAGAAATCATTTGGATCATTGGGAAATGGGTGAATCGATTCTCTAGGTAGTGAGTTTAAGCTCGGGAGAGACAAACTCTAGAGGAAGTGCTTGAAACCCCTAATTGGAAGATAAACCCATGGGCATTGTAGCATCACTAACCGTCCATGCGATTCTTGAGGGATCCCGAACCTACAACACTTCAAACCGTCGTTATACAAACCGTTAATCTTACTTGTTTGCTCTTATTCCGACACTTACCACAACCCATATTTTTACTTGACCACCTAATCTAGCTTAGAGATAGACTAATACATCCTAGTCCTCGTGTTCGACCCCGGTACTACAACTACCGTATACTTGCGGATAGTGGTACGGATCGGGTACTAAATATAAGACTCGGTGCGTGCACAATCAAGTTTTTGGCGCCGTTGCCGGGGACTAGGCTTTTTCCTGTTAGTCTAGATTTTTGCTAGATCACCATTGCTTGGATTCTTGATTGGATTACTTTGCGACATAACCGTTTCACAGCACTTTCGGTTTGTTTTGTCTCTTTGGTGTGCAGCTCTTCCAGTCCATGACAAGAAACACAAC